AAAACCTAGCCTCATAACTAGGCCCTCCTCCTTTTTCCCAAACACTGTCACCTTAAAAACCCAACATTCTTCCATTGTTCCTTCACCTTTTCTTTTTTCTCCTTCGTGCAGCAGGGTCTTCATCCTCATTATACTCCCTTGGCATCCTGGAAAAGAAAGAAACTCACTAATAGCAAAATACTGCTACAGTGCTAGAGACCGCAAAAAGTGGCTTTGAAGACTGACGAAAGGCCTAGAATACTGACCAAAGCAACAGTTTCATCCAGCAGAGATCTATGTCAGTATCTGTAGATGAGTGGTTCTCAAGCTTTAAAAGCATCACGACCCCCTAACAGACTACATATCCCCAAATGTCTAAGATTACATATCCCCAAATGTCTACCCCAGGAATCTGAGACTGTAGGACTGGAATGGCCCTGAAACCTGCCCATTTAGGCACCAGGTTCCTTTGGAACATCCATGGAACACTCTGAGAAAAAATGAGATCCTAGAGCATCCCCCCTAGAGCATCTTCATTAACACTTCAATCTCCAGATAGAGAGAATCAGAACCACAGGCTTCAAAAAAGAACTAGCCTTCCAGTTCCAAAAACATCTAGTTCAGTAATTTTTGGTAGGAAGGAAATGGGAGACAGTTTAGATCACCCGAGAACTTACTCATGGTGCCGTGACTTAGAGGGCGGTGCAGAGGTGGGTGCAGCCCTTGGGGTCATGAGGAGTTTCCTGAAGTCTTCATTGGTGAGTTTCGATCTATAAGGCAAAGACTTAAAAAATTAGTACCCAACAAGAATTGAAAAAGGATTATGTAAAAAAAACATGGTTAATTTTACTGGAAATGAGGGAAATACAAATTAAAACAAAGATGACACTTTTAACCCATCAGACTGTTAATTATTAAAAAGCTTGGTAAATCAAGTATAAGTGAGAATTTGACAAGTAGATACTCTCATATATTGCTGATGGGACATAAATCAGGATAGCCCATTTGGAGAGCAATTTGGCAGTATCTATTAAAATCTAAGTGTGCATATCCTATAACCCGCAACTCCATTTATCTATATTTAGTCTGGCCAATTGCTGGCCTATTAAAAACAATTTAAATGTCCACTAACTTGAGACTAACTAAACTTTGACAGTGCTTCCCAAATGTGAGACAGGTATCAATCATACTACACGAAAAAAATCTGAACTGGAACAGTGATAAGGACTCTTAACTCCTTCAACAAACTTTAATCAGGCCACCCTAAAACAAAACCCCTTCTGATATGCCTCTTCTTGGCCTGCTGAGCCCAGCTTTAGGAAAGAATCCTAAGTCTCCCCAGTCTTGAAAACTTTATTCAAGACTACTGTAATAGGAGTCAAGACTATTTGCAATAGGAGAAAGGGACTGAAACTCAACTCTGAATTCAACAGGGACAATGGGGACTTACAGAAAATGACAAAGAGGAACTTGGTGAGGTATCAAGGGTGAGGTGGAAAAGAAACCTGATTAGATTTCAAGGGTTAGGGGAGAAGGAGCTTGACTGGATCTCCTTGACTGGCTGAAGAGATTTTTCAGAAATTGGCCCAGTCAAAATCAGACCTTGGGAAAACCAACTAAAGTGAGGTCAAAGGGAGTCCTTGTCACTGCCATGACAATATTCTCCAAGACATTAAGTGAGAGAAAAAAGAAACTGTCAAAATTAGATATATGTGATATAACACCATTTAGTTTCAGTACGTCAACTAGCAAAGCAATAATGTATTTTCCTCAAATATGCACGTATGTATACAAATGCGTTTAAAAAGAGTAAAAAGATACATATAAAAAAGGTTACCTCTAAGAAAAGGACTGGAGTTGGGAATGTTATCAAAGAGAACTTCACCCTTACTTTTAATGAATTCCTGTAATAATGTGTAATTAAACAACAACTTTAAAAACAAGCACCCTACTTGCCAGAATTTCCCCTCTAATACTCTTATAAGCAGTTGGCCTGATCTAGTTAAAGTTCACAGAGATAAAGGGACAAGGGGTACAATTTCTGGCCATCCTTACTTACAAGACATTAAGAATTCTTCCACCTTCACTACCACCACTCTACTCACTGCCCGGCTCATGCCCATAGTCCTACATCAAAACACTCACTGGTGGAAGGAGTGGGGATCGTCCACATCGTGTCCATCGGGAGCCAAAGGGTTGGAGAAAGGCTCGCCTAAGAAAAAGAATTAATATTAATTTAGTCAATCTCTTTTATGTCGGTTCTTGAGCAAAAACCGGGGATTTAGTAGTGAACAATGCAGATGTTTTCCTGTCAAACTGCTCACAATCTAGTGAGGAAGAAAGACAAGAACAGAGACAGTTACGAAAAAAATGTTCTAAGTGCTGGGGAAAATAACAAGAAGCTGTGGAAAGCTGAAAACGGCCCCTAAACCAGCGCGGGAAGATCAGCAAAGAATTCCTACAGATGATATCTAAGATACTCAAGATTAAGTGATGGGGAGGGGGGAGAGTCTACAGATAAAGCACTCGTCGTCCCTTGGGGCACGGACAAGGCTTAAATACGGAGTTTGGGGCTGAACGGCCTCCTTCGGGCCCCAGAGGCCTCGCCAGGCTCCAAGCGTCCCACTCTCTCAAACGTCACGCACACACCCGACTTAAGCTCTCAGGCCAAAATAATGCGCCAACGTCCCGAGTCCCGCGAGGAAGAAAGGACTGATAACACAAGCCTTACTATCTCGTTCCGGCATTTTGACGGTGGGGTTTAAACGCCAGCAACACTAACGGTCCGGCAACAACACAGAAGCGACAGGTTTTGGCCCACAATGCACCTCAACAACCAACCCACGATGCCTTGCGTTCCCCAGCCTTTCCGCAACATCGCGGTGAACTGGAGGACGATCTGATTGGTGCCCTGCACGATGCTTTTATGGCATTGGCTAAAGTTTACCCTCCAACGTCAGCCGACCTATCGCGAGACGGAGAGTCCGCGGGGGAGGGTCCAACTGGATAATTTAACCGGAAGCCCTAAGGCGGGGCGTTGAGCCTTAGGTGACATGGCGGCGGCTGCAGCTGTAAATCGAGGGATTCGGGCCAAGCTGGGCCTGCGTGAGATTCGCGTCCACTTATGCCAGCGCTCGCCGGGCAGCCAAGGTGTCAGGTGAGGCGTGATGTGGTGAGGCTGGAGGGCGTTGGGGTGCTGGGGTCATGACCTTGTCATCCTGGATGTTTGGGGAAGCCCGCGGCCATCCAGTACGCGAGGTGCTCTCTCCGGCCCCGCAGGGACTTCATCGAGAAACGCTATGTGGAGCTGAAGAAGGCGAACCCCGACCTGCCCATCCTCATCCGCGAATGCTCAGATGTGCAGCCCAGGCTCTGGGCACGCTACGGTGAGCGCGGGACGCTTGGGGTCTGGGACCCCTGTGGGGAAACAAGTGTTCGGCAAGAGAAAGGGCCGCCCACGGACACACACACACACACACGCACGCACCCACCCCCACGAACTTGGATTTCTGCTTTGCTGTCGACCTGTAACAGATTTTTAAAATTTACATTCATAAGCTTACAGGATGCTTTGTGCCCCGACTAGCATGTGGGGGCGGGCCCTATCCTGTGTCGTGACCAGGAATTGCCGTTATGTCATTCAGAGCAGGCTTCAGGTAGCGGGACAAGACATGCTGGTCAGTCCCGTCAAGGTAGGTCCTTGCAAATTACGTGGGGGCAGTGCCGTTTCAGATAGTGTGAGAATCTCAGTAATAACCTGAAGTAATGACTGTCAGACCCTTAATGCAAGGCTCTGTGCTGATTGCTTTCCTGCCTAAATCTTATTTAATCTTCATTAATTATATGCGGGAGCAGTTTTTTTTCTCTTTGTAGAGATTAGAAAGCTGGATCCATTTTATGGAACATAACTAAGGTTATATAACTAGGATACGATAGGGTTGAACCGTTACATTTGTTTTCCTTTTCTAGAATGCATTTCTGCCAGACTTCTATGGTTGGTTCCTTGTTACAATTCAGGAGTTAGTTCTGAACTTAAATGTCACCTTCTCAGAAAGGCATTCCCAGACTGGTTATGTAACATTGCCCCTGGCCCCCTTTTATATCTGTTTAAGTTTACCACAATCTGAAAATTACTATTATGTTGCCTAACATATTAGGCACACACTAAATATTTATACTTACTGAATAATGGTATTGTAGGCATGACTTAACTAACGGAAGTCTTGGGAAAGGGGGAGGTCACACTAAGGCAGATGGGTTCTAGTAGTGGACAACTGTAGTATGCCATGCACTAAAAATTTTGGGGAGTTCTTTCAAAAACCAATGTAGTAGAGAAAGCAGAGGTAGACACTAATAACTTTATTGTATTATACCAGATTATGGAAGCCATAGAATGGGCACCCAGTCAACTCTAGGGCCATACAATGCATTGCTACAGTGGTTAATAATACCTGCCATACTCCTTAAAATTTCCTTGAAACACTGTCCTATTGTGGCCACCCAAAATCAGCTAAAATTGTAGTTGAAACAGAGCTTCCTGGAGGTGTTTCAGACCCATTGGATAAATTCCAGGCATACCAAATACACCTTGATCATTCATGTCTCTTAACTACCCTAACAAGACTTTAAGTTGAAAACAAAAACCTTTTCTTATATTTTGGTATTTCCAACAGTGCAGGGTGGATACTTACTCACCATCCTCTCTCCTCAGCATTTGGCCAAGAGAAGAATGTCTCCTTGAACAACTTCAGTGTTGATCAGGTAACCAGAGCCCTGGAGAATGTGATAAGTGGCAAAGCCTGAAGCCTCCACTGAGGACTAAGAGCAACAGACCCACAGCCTGGGCTCTAGTGAACTGAGTACGATGTGGGAGAACATATTCTTCTGTTCCTTATAAAGCTTGTGCTGAAAAATGCCATCTCAAGGATGTTCTTTTCCTCATTCCATCTTTTACCCTTTATTGTGCAACTACTGAGTCAAAGCAATTTAATGTAAAAATAAATAAAACTTTATTCTGTCCCATCAAAAGCCACCAGCTGCTGGAGCAAAAAAAGGGGATTCCAGGGCCCCATATGAATGCGACAATATCAAGTTCCCTCTGGTCCTCCTGCCTGGACCACACTGGGTGAAAGAAGAGGAGCTGGGGTCCAAAGGTTTTGGCTTAGGCTTAGGTGTGGGAGCAGAGAGCATGAGACGACATTATGGTTCTAAACCCCCAAAAGGGGCTCTGTGAGCAAGGAAGCCCCCACTTGGGGGGAGGGGGCAGGGGTGCAGAGTGGTGTGAGTGACACTGAGAAGCCACGTCACCCATGAAGAGCTGTCTGCTGGAGAGCATGCACACGATCCTGTAGCTGTGCCGCTGCCTCATGCCTTCCCAGGGCCTGCAGCCCTGATTCCTGCAGGAAGGCCCGGGCAGCCTGAGGGCAGGGAAGGAATGGATTTAATATCTGGGTCCCTATGCCCTAATACTTGATTCCCACAGCTCTATGGGTTAGCCCACCTGTTCTTGCGAGAGAATGCATTCCCAAGAAGAGGATGGAAGTTCTAACCTAAAGCTCACATAGGTTACCCAGGCCCAGAAAAGCAACTATAGTTAGGACCAGAAGGAAAGGGGGCCATGGTGAGGCCAGAGGCTTCAGAGTGAGGATTGGGGAACAGGGCCGGAAACCTACCTCTGGCCGATAGAGGAACAGCAGTTGCAACAGTTCCAAACTCTGGCCTACAACTTCAGTGTCGGACAAGGCCAGCATGCCCAGCAAAGAGGAGAGCAGGGGCCCTGGCCACAGATGCTGGCAGTAAGCAGGACCCTTCTCTGCAACGTTGCACAGAACTGTGAGCACCTGTGGGCAGATAGGTATACACAGTCTCCACAACTGATGAGAGCTAAAGATCGTAATGATAGCTAAGATATGGAGCATTGATCACATGCCCAGGCAGTGTGCGAGGCACTTCATATGCATGTTCTGTAATCCCCACAGTAACCTCAGGATTACTATTGCTAATAATAAATGAGGAAACTAAAACAAGGGGGTTAGTTGGATTTGCCCTTAGTTAAGTAACTAGTAAAACCACAGTTTAGGGACTCAGACCTAGAGTGGTCTGGCCCTGAAGCCATCCATCGCGCAGCACCTGCCCACTCTCAGCTCGGGGCCCTTCAGAGGGCTGAGGCCTGCTCCCATTGTTTCTCCAACTCAAGTGACCCCAATACCTACCAACGCGCTGACCACATTAGATACTGGCAACAACTGCAAGAGGGGCTCAATCAGATCCAGGGAGAGCAAGGAGGTACAGAAACCGGGACTGTTTGCTGAAAGGGAAAACGTCAGGATGAGGTCCCTCAGGCTGAGGCCTAAACTGCATCCCCCCCCCATTCCTACCCTGTCTCAGCCCAGGCCATGAGGAAGAACTCCCAGGATCTAAGGGCCAGGCTCGGACAGATTATGGTGTGTACCAGTGAGGTTGTTAAGGAGCCAGAGGCCCTCCGGAAGCAGGCTGGGCTGTTTCTGCAGGAAAAACTGCAGAAGGATAAATAAGGCTGCCATGACACGCTCATCTCCGAGCTGCATTTGCTCTTCCACAGCCTCTGCTGCTGCCTCCGTTAGCAAGTTGCTTAGACACCGAAGCACAGGGCATGCAACCTGCAAAGACCAGTTGGAGGGTCAGATGTAAGGAGGAAGAGAACATCTTCAGACTGGAGGAGGAGCAGAGTAGGAAGAAAGGCCGCCCAGATCTTGACCAGTCCTTTTCACCTACCAGCTCCAGTCCTGCATCCTCGGTTCTCTGGACAGCCCCAGCAACGTCCAACAGCAGTAGCCCCAGAGTGGACAAAGCCCCATGGGTGATGAGCAGGGTGTTATTGACCTGGCTGGGCAATAGGAAGCAAGCAGTCACTACTCAGTCAACCCCACCTTTAAGTTGGCAAACAGTCTAGGGCCTGACCACAGAAGGAAGAAAACACCCCGATTCCAGAAACCAAAGTTCAAGAACTTAAGTGTCATGAAAGGGAGCCCCAGGGGAGGTCTGTGGCACTTTCCCAATTGGCCTGTTACCTGCAGATGATGTAGTGAAGGCACCAGGCAAACTCCACAGCAACCCCAAGGGTCAGCTTTGGACCAGGTTGCAACAGTCGCAGCATGTGCTGGGGGAGAGGGGAGCCCAGGACAGAGCTGCCAGCAAAAGAAGTGCTATGAGCAGGAACCACAGAAGGCAAGAGGCCAGTCACTCTCCAAACCCTAACAGCAGGTAGGAAAGTGTCCAAATGCAAAATTCTTCCCAGCCAGACACATGACACATGGAGTTAAAATGTACAACAGCTTTGGAAACAAGACTTGATAAGGCATCCAGGGGCTATACTACCAAGTAGGTCACACCTGCCTGCGCATCTGGAGACACAATTTTACTTACGGGATGATCATGTCAGGAGCTTCCTTAGCCTGCAGAAGCTGGGACAAGGCATATCCAAGGGCTTCCAGCACAGTCAGATGTGGGGACTAGAAGCAGACAGGGTGGGGATCTGACGCTGGGAGCTGAGCCGTAAGATTTTCTGAGACTTTCAACCCCTTAGCACAGGACAAAGACAAACTGCCTAACCAAAGCAGGTGGGGCATGTGGAGACAAGTGAGGGGAAGGTTGCCCAGGGAGGGAGAAAGGAGATGGATACTTACATGGATGCATGCAGCCAAGGCTGGAACAATGCCCTGTGGCAGCAGCTGCCTTCTCACAGCTTCACTTTCCACGATCAGGTTTCCCAGTGTATACAGACAGAGTTCCTGAGAGCAGGACAGACACCAAAGGCACTGGGCTTGGCTCGCCTCAAGCCTGGGCGTGAGGGGTGGGGCACACAACACTACAGCCTTGTCCCTGAGGCTGTGGGCACAAGGGGCTAATGGGAGATGATAGTATCTATGTGGCCGGACACATCAGGGGAAACAGGTTTTCTTCCCTCTGCCAGCTCAAACTGGACCCAAAAGCACACTTTTTAAATCTGAGAACAAGGTAGGAAGGGAGACAGGGCTTACTATAAAGTCTGAGCTGTGACTGGAGAGGTAGGTCAGAAGGTAGGACGTGGCTGGCAGGCAGGCCTCAGCTACCGCAGACTGTTCCGAGTGAGAGAGCTCGTGAAGGCACCGAGCCGCCTCGAGCTGCAGCAGGGCCTGGCTGCTGGTCAGGAGTCCGACCAGGGTCTGCATGCTGCCCTCCAGCCTACGTGAGTGGGCATCAGAGTCCTGCTCAGCCTGTGGCCCATCCCTTCCACACTCCTGTCCATCCCTCAGAGCACCAGCCCCCCACTCACACCACTCACACTGACCAGATGAAGATCTGCTGCGTCTCAGGGTGCTGTAAGCCCCGACGAAGGCGGACCAGAGCCCTCTGTCTCTCCTTTTCCTCTGTCCCCCGCTTGGCTAACTGCAGGAATTGCTGGATCTGGAGCCCAGCATACAGAGAGGAGACATGAAAAAAGCAGGTTGTAAGTCATGCTCCGCTCGCCTCACCTGTGAGCCAGTATTGCACCATCTCTTGAACTTGTCATTCACACTAACATGGCTAATAAGTGCCAACTTTACAGTAGGATGGACAGAACAAACAACTGGGTTTAATGCCAGCCCTGCCATGTATTCTATAAGGAACCTAAACTTGAATTTCCCACCTGAAAAACAGGAGTAACATCAATGCTGCCTTTTCACGGGGTTATTTTCATGAATAACATTTAAAACTATTGTAACCTTCCTGCCATTCTCCATGCAACCTACACTTCAACACCACCTAATGCAAACCTGACTTGGTTTTTAATGCTTCCCAGCTTTTGCGCCATATTCCTCTTGCCTGGGATCCCCTCCCCAGGTCCTCCACTCCCTTAAAAGTTCTGGTCCTGTGGGAAATTAGATCTTTCTGGAATCCTCTGATAGTCTTGGGGTTTCTATTGTGCCTCATGTTTCCTTCATGACAGGGGATAGTTAAACCTGTCTCTTCCACTGGGCTGTGAGCGCTTCAGACAAAGGGACTCTATAGCTTGTGTATATCAGTACCTAGCATAATGTCTTGGCATAAAGTAAGCACAACGAGCATATGGTATAACCTTGACGTAGTGCTTTATAAACCCATGTATGTAAACATAGATAATATAACACAGGGGATGCCCAATGCTTGCTGAATGAATAAATGAACTAAAACTCTTTCATTCACTTAGTCAATACTGAGCATCTACTATATGCCAGATACTGTACAGGCATTTCAATTTTCAATGATGATAACTAAGATAGGGTCTAGGTTCCCGTGGATTTAAAGTCTCCTTGAAGAAATGATAATAAACAAACAGTTAGTATGATTAGTATTTCTGTAAATAGGCTGACAAGACAGAATACTAAGATGGATCCACTTTAGATGCAGTAAATGCAAAGGCCTTGAGACAAGAAAGAGCCTAGTATATTGTTTCAAGAACTGAAAAGGGGCCAGTTTGGCTAAGATGAATAAGCTGATAAGGTTGGAGGTAGGCAGAGGTTAGACGGTGTGGTGCTGGACTTTTTAGGTCACAGGAAGGATCTTGGTCTCTATGTGTTTTTAAATGACACATCTGACGTGTGGAGAATGGAAATGAAGTGGGGTGAGGGGAGCACGACGTACAACTTGCTTGGGGGCATGATACTAATCATACTAACTGCTTAGGAGATTCTGTAAGTATCCAAGTTAGAGCGTAGGGACAACTGCGACGGCGAGGCATGTAGACTCCAGAACTCTTCAGGCTGGGCCTTGATGATGTATTGATGTGTGGATGTGGGATGGAGTTGTTGAGGATGTTCCCCCGGTTTCTGGCTTGGCCCACTGGATGGATGGAGGTGTTTAAGGGGCTGCGTTCAGGTTTGGGGCGTTCCTGGAATACTCTAACAAGGAGTTTGGGGCCAGCCAGAGTAGACCTCAGCACGCACGCTCCCTCTCACCTCGGCTTCCCCGAGGATCCCAATCACATATCCCTCTTCAGCTTCCTCCGGGGTGACATCTCTCAGCAGCCTCTTGCTGACCAGCTGCTGCTCCCTCCGCGCAATCCGCAGTGCTGGGGGCAAAGGAGCCGGATGAGCATGGGTAGGGCACCCAAAACACAGAACCCCGTCTCCCCGCGGGGGGCCTCCTCACGCTATCTCCAGTCGTTATACCCTCCGTCCTCCGGTCAGCCCGCACCTGCTTCCCGCTCTCGCCGGCGACGCCGTAGCTCCTCCACCCCACAGCCCACCGGCCGGAGGCGGCCCTGCAGTCGGCTCCACATGGTGGGGCTGGGAAAACGCGCTCGGAGCAGAGCCAGGGAAGCAGGCCAGAGCTTAGAGGAAGGTAGGCACCGCGCAGCCTCAGTGCAGGACAGGACGGGAGGGCGAATGGGCGCGGCGCGGCGCAACGTGACGTGGGCGGAGCGAGGGGGCCTGACCAGAGGCCGGGCCGGGCGGAGGGCGGGGAAAGGAGGGGAGGGGCGTAGGGGAGGTTTACCCAGGCCCAGAAAAGCAACTATAGTTAGGACCAGAAGGAAAGGGGGCCATGGTGAGGCCAGAGGCTTCAGAGTGAGGATTGGGGAACAGGGCCGGAAACCTACCTCTGGCCGATAGAGGAACAGCAGTTGCAACAGTTCCAAACTCTGGCCTACAACTTCAGTGTCGGACAAGGCCAGCATGCCCAGCAAAGAGGGGAGCAGGGGCCCTGGCCACAGATGCTGGCAGTAAGCAGGACCCTTCTCTGCAACGTTGCACAGAACTGTGAGCACCTGTGGGCAGATAGGTATACACAGTCTCCACAACTGATGAGAGCTAAAGATCGTAATGATAGCTAAGATATGGAGCATTGATCACATGCCCAGGCAGTGTGCGAGGCACTTCATATGCATGTTCTGTAATCCCCACAGTAACCTCAGGATTACTATTGCTAATAATAAATGAGGAAACTAAAACAAGGGGGTTAGTTGGATTTGCCCTTAGTTAAGTAACTAGTAAAACCACAGTTTAGGGACTCAGACCTAGAGTGGTCTGGCCCTGAAGCCATCCATCGCGCAGCACCTGCCCACTCTCAGCTCGGGGCCCTTCAGAGGGCTGAGGCCTGCTCCCATTGTTTCTCCAACTCAAGTGACCCCAATACCTACCAACGCGCTGACCACATTAGATACTGGCAACAACTGCAAGAGGGGCTCAATCAGATCCAGGGAGAGCAAGGAGGTACAGAAACCGGGACTGTTTGCTGAAAGGGAAAACGTCAGGATGAGGTCCCTCAGGCTGAGGCCTAAACTGCATCCCCCCCCATTCCTACCCTGTCTCAGCCCAGGCCATGAGGAAGAACTCCCAGGATCTAAGGGCCAGGCTCGGACAGATTATGGTGTGTACCAGTGAGGTTGTTAAGGAGCCAGAGGCCCTCCGGAAGCAGGCTGGGCTGTTTCTGCAGGAAAAACTGCAGAAGGATAAATAAGGCTGCCATGACACGCTCATCTCCGAGCTGCATTTGCTCTTCCACAGCCTCTGCTGCTGCCTCCGTTAGCAAGTTGCTTAGACACCGAAGCACAGGGCATGCAACCTGCAAAGACCAGTTGGAGGGTCAGATGTAAGGAGGAAGAGAACATCTTCAGACTGGAGGAGGAGCAGAGTAGGAAGAAAGGCCGCCCAGATCTTGACCAGTCCTTTTCACCTACCAGCTCCAGTCCTGCATCCTCGGTTCTCTGGACAGCCCCAGCAACGTCCAACAGCAGTAGCCCCAGAGTGGACAAAGCCCCATGGGTGATGAGCAGGGTGTTATTGACCTGGCTGGGCAATAGGAAGCAAGCAGTCACTACTCAGTCAACCCCACCTTTAAGTTGGCAAACAGTCTAGGGCCTGACCACAGAAGGAAGAAAACACCCCGATTCCAGAAACCAAAGTTCAAGAACTTAAGTGTCATGAAAGGGAGCCCCAGGGGAGGTCTGTGGCACTTTCCCAATTGGCCTGTTACCTGCAGATGATGTAGTGAAGGCACCAGGCAAACTCCACAGCAACCCCAAGGGTCAGCTTTGGACCAGGTTGCAACAGTCGCAGCATGTGCTGGGGGAGAGGGGAGCCCAGGACAGAGCTGCCAGCAAAAGAAGTGCTATGAGCAGGAACCACAGAAGGCAAGAGGCCAGTCACTCTCCAAACCCTAACAGCAGGTAGGAAAGTGTCCAAATGCAAAATTCTTCCCAGCCAGACACATGACACATGGAGTTAAAATGTACAACAGCTTTGGAAACAAGACTTGATAAGGCATCCAGGGGCTATACTACCAAGTAGGTCACACCTGCCTGCGCATCTGGAGACACAATTTTACTTACGGGATGATCATGTCAGGAGCTTCCTTAGCCTGCAGAAGCTGGGACAAGGCATATCCAAGGGCTTCCAGCACAGTCAGATGTGGGGACTAGAAGCAGACAGGGTGGGGATCTGACGCTGGGAGCTGAGCCGTAAGATTTTCTGAGACTTTCAACCCCTTAGCACAGGACAAAGACAAACTGCCTAACCAAAGCAGGTGGGGCATGTGGAGACAAGTGAGGGGAAGGTTGCCCAGGGAGGGAGAAAGGAGATGGATACTTACATGGATGCATGCAGCCAAGGCTGGAACAATGCCCTGTGGCAGCAGCTGCCTTCTCACAGCTTCACTTTCCACGATCAGGTTTCCCAGTGTATACAGACAGAGTTCCTGAGAGCAGGACAGACACCAAAGGCACTGGGCTTGGCTCGCCTCAAGCCTGGGCGTGAGGGGTGGGGCACACGACACTACAGCCTTGTCCCTGAGGCTGTGGGCACAAGGGGCTAATGGGAGATGATAGTATCTATGTGGCCGGACACATCAGGGGAAACAGGTTTTCTTCCCTCTGCCAGCTCAAACTGGACCCAAAAGCACACTTTTTAAATCTGAGAACAAGGTAGGAAGGGAGACAGGGCTTACTATAAAGTCTGAGCTGTGACTGGAGAGGTAGGTCAGAAGGTAGGACGTGGCTGGCAGGCAGGCCTCAGCTACCGCAGACTGTTCCGAGTGAGAGAGCTCGTGAAGGCACCGAGCCGCCTCGAGCTGCAGCAGGGCCTGGCTGCTGGTCAGGAGTCCGACCAGGGTCTGCATGCTGCCCTCCAGCCTACGTGAGTGGGCATCAGAGTCCTGCTCAGCCTGTGGCCCATCCCTTCCACACTCCTGTCCATCCCTCAGAGCACCAGCCCCCCACTCACACCACTCACACTGACCAGATGAAGATCTGCTGCGTCTCAGGGTGCTGTAAGCCCCGACGAAGGCGGACCAGAGCCCTCTGTCTCTCCTTTTCCTCTGTCCCCCGCTTGGCTAACTGCAGGAATTGCTGGATCTGGAGCCCAGCATACAGAGAGGAGACATGAAAAAAGCAGGTTGTAAGTCATGCTCCGCTCGCCTCACCTGTGAGCCAGTATTGCACCATCTCTTGAACTTGTCATTCACACTAACATGGCTAATAAGTGCCAACTTTACAGTAGGATGGACAGAACAAACAACTGGGTTTAATGCCAGCCCTGCCATGTATTCTATAAGGAACCTAAACTTGAATTTCCCACCTGAAAAACAGGAGTAACATCAATGCTGCCTTTTCACGGGGTTATTTTCATGAATAACATTTAAAACTATTGTAACCTTCCTGCCATTCTCCATGCAACCTACACTTCAACACCACCTAATGCAAACCTGACTTGGTTTTTAATGCTTCCCAGCTTTTGCGCCATATTCCTCTTGCCTGGGATCCCCTCCCCAGGTCCTCCACTCCCTTAAAAGTTCTGGTCCTGTGGGAAATTAGATCTTTCTGGAATCCTCTGATAGTCTTGGGGTTTCTATTGTGCCTCATGTTTCCTTCATGACAGGGGATAGTTAAACCTGTCTCTTCCACTGGGCTGTGAGCGCTTCAGACAAAGGGACTCTATAGCTTGTGTATATCAGTACCTAGCATAATGTCTTGGCATAAAGTAAGCACAACGAGCATATGGTATAACCTTGACGTAGTGCTTTATAAACCCATGTATGTAAACATAGATAATATAACACAGGGGATGCCCAATGCTTGCTGAATGAATAAATGAACTAAAACTCTTTCATTCACTTAGTCAATACTGAGCATCTACTATATGCCAGATACTGTACAGGCATTTCAATTTTCAATGATGATAACTAAGATAGGGTCTAGGTTCCCGTGGATTTAAAGTCTCCTTGAAGAAATGATAATAAACAAACAGTTAGTATGATTAGTATTTCTGTAAATAGGCTGACAAGACAGAATACTAAGATGGATCCACTTTAGATGCAGTAAATGCAAAGGCCTTGAGACAAGAAAGAGCCTAGTATATTGTTTCAAGAACTGAAAAGGGGCCAGTTTGGCTAAGATGAATAAGCTGATAAGGTTGGAGGTAGGCAGAGGTTAGACGGTGTGGTGCTGGACTTTTTAGGTCACAGGAAGGATCTTGGTCTCTATGTGTTTTTAAATGACACATCTGACGTGTGGAGAATGGAAATGAAGTGGGGTGAGGGGAGCACGACGTACAACTTGCTTGGGGGCATGATACTAATCATACTAACTGCTTAGGAGATTCTGTAAGTATCCAAGTTAGAGCGTAGGGACAACTGCGACGGCGAGGCATGTAGACTCCAGAACTCTTCAGGCTGGGCCTTGATGATGTATTGATGTGTGGATGTGGGATGGAGTTGTTGAGGATGTTCCCCCGGTTTCTGGCTTGGCCCACTGGATGGATGGAGGTGTTGAAGGGGCTGCGTTCAGGTTTGGGGCGTTCCTGGAATACTCTAACAAGGAGTTTGGGGCCAGCCAGAGTAGACCTCAGCACGCACGCTCCCTCTCACCTCGGCTTCCCCGAGGATCCCAATCACATATCCCTCTTCAGCTTCCTCCGGGGTGACATCTCTCAGCAGCCTCTTGCTGACCAGCTGCTGCTCCCTCCGCGCAATCCGCAGTGCTGGGGGCAAAGGAGCCGGATGAGCATGGGTAGGGCACCCAAAACACAGAACCCCGTCTCCCCGCGGGGGGCCTCCTCACGCTATCTCCAGTCGTTATACCCTCCGTCCTCCGGTCAGCCCGCACCTGCTTCCCGCTCTCGCCGGCGACGCCGTAGCTCCTCCACCCCACAGCCCACCGGCCGGAGGCGGCCCTGCAGTCGGCTCCACATGGTGGGGCTGGGAAAACGCGCTCGGAGCAGAGCCAGGGAAGCAGGCCAGAGCTTAGAGGACGGTAGGCACCGCGCAGCCTCAGTGCAGGACAGGACGGGAGGGCGAATGGGCGCGGCGCGGCGCAACGTGACGTGGGCGGAGCGAGGGGGCCTGACCAGAGGCCGGGCCGGGCGGAGGGCGGGGAAAGGAGGGGAGGGGCGTAGGGGAGGTTTGGAACGGGGCGGGGCGGGGCAACACCCACTCCGCCGGTGGGTGGTTTCTCTCCTCCCCAATTCTAGGAATGAAAGTAACTCAACCTAGACCCAGACTGCCGCCAATCAGTGCGTCACTTTCCACTCTGCAAACATAACCTCCCTACCCTTAGCACACCTTAGACGAACGGTTCAAAACCGCGAGGAGCTCTAGGAAGCAATGGAACACCAGTTCACTAAACACGGCTCCCACCGATGAGCGCTGGCCAACGCTGGTCATGCATTACCTTCTTACATGTTCACCATGACAATTTATCCCCATTTTAGACGTGTGAGGAAAATGAGGCAAACATATAACTACTTCACTATTCTGCATAAAAGTGACCCTCATTATTTTTAGAGTAAAGTAATTGTTTCACCAAAGTTTGAGCGCCACAAATACAGGTACTGGGGAAACACCGGTGAAATAAAAACCTTCCTACCCTCAAAATCGGAATTCTGGCCAGCTAACCCCTACATGGTATAACCCCTGCATACCTCTCCACTCTCTACTGGAAGGGTGTTTCATCTTACTCACCCCTCCTGGGATCTTCTCTTTGTTCCCTAAAAGGGACCTGCTTTTTTCCTCCTCTGGGCTTTTGAACAGGCTGTTCTTCTGCCTGCAGCCCTGTCTCTGCCCTTCCTCCCACCCCAAACAGCATTCTTCCCTTAATTAACACCATCCTTGAGACCTCATCTTCATCGTCCCCTACTCAGAACGACTGGATCAGTGCTCCTTTTGTTAGAGTGTATAACACCATATACTTCTCCTCAATACCCTTTTTGCAACTGTCATTAAGTTATAGTGTACTTGTCACCTCCCAAAGCCCCTTCCCAGCTCCAAGAGAATAGAGTCCTGGTAACACTTAAGAATTTGTATTGGTGGCCTGTAATTTTTAGAAAGCCATTACTTGGGCAAAAACCATTACTTAGGAGGAAGCTGAAGGGGGATATGTGATTGTTGTAAGTAATAACAAATCCAGGAAAGATCATTGTTCTTCAAACCAACTTCCTTCTCTTGAATTTAATTCCACCTCTTGGAGTCAACTGATGAAGGCTTCAATATCTTCCACAAAACATCTAGTTACATATCTGCAGTTCATCATCCTGTCTCCACATTTTGTCTCCAAGCCCAGCATCCAACCAGTCCCCGGATAGCCATTTATTGAGTACCTGCTGTGTACCATACTCTGGCTGGGGATAGGTCTTGACTGTCTTTGTTTGCCTCCCCCACCTACTAGAGTACTTGAGGGACTGTGTGATCATGTCAACATCTAAGGGCTTTGCACCAGCCCTGGACTCGGTAGGCAGATGATGGATATTTGTTGAATCGAGGTATGAGAGGGGGATCCTTGCAGAACCATTATTGCTCCTCTTAGCTTGCACCCCTAATCTAGAGCGCCTTTCCTAAAGTGACAGGATTTGCTATCAGGAGCCAGGCTTCAGTGGCCCAAGTCATGTGAATCAGAGGCTCTGATGAAGAAAGCAACAATCAGAGAGGCTGGCATCAGATGTGGCTCTAAACTTATAGACAGGTACTACTATTATCTCCATTTTACAAAGCAGAAGCCCAGAAGTCTGAGGCCCAGAAACTTGCCCAAGTCTCACAATATCAATAGCAGAGCTGGGATTCCAAGGCAGCTGAGACTGCAGAGTCAGTATATATAACACTGAGCTGTACTCACATGTTGGTACCCAGGGATGTCCCGTGACCTGGCCTGGCCTTAGGATGGCTGAGAGTATCAGGGCATGCCCAACAGGACACACAGGCACAGTGTGGGCTGGTGAAGCCTCCTTGTTTGAAATGGGGACAGATGTGAAGCTATTTCTGGAAAACAGGGGATGTGAGAATTCAACCATTGTATGTGTAGCTCTTTCTCCAGAAAACCAGAGGTGCAAAACTGCGAGGGCTGTGGTGAATGCATAGCCCCACTCCGCCCCACCCTGGGAGACTTGTTTTTTTTTCTTGGCAAAACAGGTGAGTTACTAATTAAGCCTCATTCAATATAGTCCAGCCTCTCTTTCCTAGGACTCAGGAATTGTGAGGGGCAGAGAGCAGAAGACAGCTAGGTACAGGTGTCAAAACTATGTTAGAAATATCTTTTTTCTCAATTTCAGGACAAGGAAATGAAACTAAAATATTGAGCAATTCGGCCAATGTGTCTCTGTTAAACACTTCACCTTTAGGAAAGCTATTACTTTCTTAATAGACAAAGTTTGAAAAAAAAGAAAAAAAATAGAACACGTCAGCCAAAAGGGGACGATGAGTGTTGTTCTTCAAACCAGCTTCCTTCTCTTGAATCTAATTCTAGCCCTTAGAGTCATAGGATGAAATTCGCAATCTCCTCCACAAAATATCCAGTTAAATATCTGAGGATATTTGGAAGACTGGACTTGGGTGAGGGGAGGTTAATAGTAACCACCAAGACTAGGGAAAGTCAAGGAAACGAAGTGGGTAGAGTCTCTGGGATGCAGGCGGGGAAGGTCAGAGTCCTGGCCTGAGGCACTGGGGACCTTCCTTCCTCCACACTCTCCGGACGAGCCTCGGGCGCCTGACCCCTCGGGCGGCACTGGCCGGTGCAGAGCGCCCTTAGTCACCCTTCAAGATCCTTCCTGTTTCGGCTCCTCTCCCTACATTTTTTATTGCAAAATTTCCCAGAAGGTTAGTGAATGGAGTGGCTGGGTGGAAAGAAGTGACCAGAGTTCAGAGAGGAGGGACAGAGTGACACCTAGGGTTACATAAACTCCCAGGGGCCGTCGGCGCGTTGCCACTGCCCGCGGAGGCTGCACGGCGGTGAGGGCCGCTGCGGCGGAGGGGAAAGAAGCCGAGCCCTTCCCGGAGCCGGGGACGCAGACGCTCTGAAGCCCGCGTGGACCATGGTGAGTGGGGGCGGCCGAGCGGGGCTGTGGGGACGCGCGGGGCGCGCGAGGGCCGCCCTGACCCGCCTCTTACAGGCCCCCGCGCCCGACCTGCTGCTGCTGCTGCTGCTGCTGCTGCCGCCGCTGCTCGTCTCCGCGGACGCGCCCGAGCCCTGCGCGGTGGACGACGACGACGTCCGCTGCGTCTGCAACTTCACCGCCCCGCAGCCCGACTGGTCCAGCGCCTTCCAGTGTATGGCTGCCGTCGAGGTGGAGATCCGTGGCGGCGGCCGCAGCCTGGAGCACTTTCTGAAGGCTGCCGACGTCGACACAAAGCACTACGCTGACATGGTCAGGTCTCTGCGCCTGCGGCGGCTCACGGTGGGCGCCGCCCAGATTCCTGCTCCGCTTCTGGGGGCCTTCCTGCGAGCGCTCGGGTACTCGCGGCTCAAACAGCTGGCGCTCGAGGACCTGGACGTAACTGGCACGATGCCGCCGCCGCCCCTGGAGGCCATTGGGCCTGCGCTCTCCACCCTCAGTCTCCGTAATGTGTCCTGGGCAGCGGGAGGTGCCTGGCTCGCCCAGCTGCAGCAGTGGCTCAAGCCAGGCCTCCAGGTACTGGGCATTGAGCAAGCACACTCGCTTGCCTTTCCCTGTGCAGAGCTCCGCAGCTTCCCTGCCCTCACCACCCTAGACCTGTCTGACAATCCGGGACTGGGCGAGCGCGGGCTGGGCGCGGCTCTCTGTCCGCAGAAGTTCCCGGCCCTCCGGGATCTAGCGCTTCGCAACGCTGGGATGCAGACGCCGGAAGGCGTGTGCGTGGCGTTGGCGGCTGCGGGTGTGCAACCCCACAGCCTAGATCTCAGCCACAACTCTCTGCGCGCCACCACCGCGGGCGCTCCCGGGTGCGTCTGGCCCAGTGCACTGAGGTCTCTCAACTTGTCGTTCGCTGGGCTGGAGAGGGTACCTAAAGGACTGCCGGCCAAGCTCACTGTGCTTGATCTCAGCTGCAACAGGCTGCTCAGGGCGCCTCGGCCAGACGAGCTGCCCAAGGTGAGTAACCTGACACTGAACGGGAATCCTTTTCTGGACCCTGGAGCCCCCAAGCCTCAAGAAGACCTGATGAACTCCGGTGTGAACCCAGCCTGTGTGCGCTCCGCCCTGGCAGTGGGGATGTCAGGAACTCTGGCGCTGCTTCAAGGGGCCAGGGGCTTGGCCTAAGAAGAAAGAATTGGCTCGGACTGCCCTGGCTCCGGGGGAGCCTCTTCAGGACGTCTTAACCAACCACCTTCTGCCCCATATTCATTAAAGTCTTAAACAATAGTCCATATCATTCACTCAACAGATGTTTACTGGGTGTCTGCTCTGGGCTGGGCACAATGCTGGATGGGGAATCCATTATATTTAGACTCTCTTCCTAATTCTCTAGAAACCATACATGCCCTAAGAAAAGAACTTCAGGGGCAGAAGAGGAAGGGAAGTTGCCTTTCTAGGGCTCTGTGGAATCAACTCTAGGAGGAAAGGGTGGTTCTCTGGAAGGCTGTACAGAAGAGGAGACATGTAATCTAGGTCTTGAAAGGTGAATATCACTTCCTCGGGAAGGATATCCTAGGCAAAAATGGGCAGCACATTAAAGGGCTCAGACACCTGAAAGCGTATGGCCAGATCTGAGAATTAAAACTGATGAGAGAGGGCTGGAGATCATGGTGATGGAAGCTGGAGGCATTTATTCATTTGACCACCTATTATGTGCCAAGCGCTACTATGCTAAACCCTGTGAATATAGCAGGAATGAAGCAGAAGTTCTTGTTCATTCGGATTTCAGATTCTGGTTGGGTAGTGGAGGTAAGGGGAAGACAATAACATATAAAACAGACTATGGTAAGTACTGTGAAGAGAAAGGGGACAGGGTATTGAGGATTGATTCATTATATAAGATTGTTCGGGAAGGCCTCTCTGATGGGGAAATTTGAACAAATTCTGAGTGAACTGGGAAAAGGAGCTTGAGGATATCTGGGGGGATAGCATTTCAGACAGAGGCATCAGCAAGTACAAAGGTTCTGAGGTCTTTGGGATGGTAAAGAAAACAGTAAAAGAGGCCAGTGTGGCTGAAGCAGGGTTGGGGAGGGTGGAGGCGAGGAGGTGGTAAGAGATGAGGTTAGAGACTAGAAGGACCAGATCGTGTAGGGCCTTGTAAAGTAATGCTGCTCAAAATATGACCCAAGGCAAGTGCCAACTTCCAAATTGTTCATTACTGCACCATAAGGAGACAGGTAAAATAAAGTCAAGAATAAGTATTTGGAAACTTCTAAAATTAAAAATTTCACACTGTAGTGTGTGTTCCAGAAGCATGGTAAATGTAGAATATAGTAAGGACTTTAGCTTTTACTTTTAATAAGCTTAGGAGCCCTGCTGGTGGAAATGTAAACTAGTTCAACCATTGTGGAAAGCAATATGGAGGCTCCTCAAAAAACTAAAAATAGAAATATCATTTGACTCTGGAATTCTACTCCTAGGAATTTACCCAAAGAAAACAAGTTTTCAGATTCAAAAAGACATACGCACCCCTATGTTTATTGCAGCACTATTTACAATAGCCAAGATATGGAAGCAACCTGCGTGTCCATCAGTGGATGAATGGATAAAGAAGATGTGGGACATATAGCAATGGAATACTATTCAGCCATAAGAAGAAAATTCCTACCATTTGCAACAACATGGATGGAGCTATAGGGTATTATGCTCAGTGAAATAAGTCAGGCAGAGAAAGACAAGTACCAAATTATTTCCCTCATTTGTGGAGTATAACAATGAAGCAAAACTGAAGGAATAAAAACAGCAGCAGATTCACAGACTCTAAGAAGGGACTAGCAATTACCAAAGGGGAGGGATGGGAGAGGGTGGGTGGGAAGGGAGGGAGAAGGGGATTGAGGGGTATTATGATTAGTATACATGGTGTGGGGGGATCATGGGGAAGATAGTGTAGCACAGAGAAGACAAGTAGTGACTCTGTGGCATCTTAGTACACTGATGGGACAGTGACTGCAATGGGGTATGGAGAGACTTGATAGTATGGATGAATGTAGTAACCACAATGTTCTTCATGTGAAACCTTCATAAAAATGTATATCAATGATACCTTAATAAAAATGAAAAAGTATAAAATAGAAAAAAATAGCTATGGGAACAAAAAATAAATAAACAAAAAATGAACTTAGGAGCCATCTCTCTCTTCTGGGCAGAAGTGACACATAAGCAACAGCACTTTATGAAGGGACTTGGAGGCCATCCTATAAGCTGTAAGGAGTCAATAATGAACTTTAAGTGGACAGTTAATGGAATCAGGTGTATGTTTGTAAAAGCCCACACAGGTGGCCTTGTGGAGGACGATCAGTGGATTCTAAGGGAGCATTGATGAGGTTATTGAATGAGTCCAGCACGGATGAGGACCTGACCAGGATGGCAGTGTCCATAAGGATGTTGGGGAAGGATGACTTCAAGAGCTCTGAAGGAGGAAGAACTGACGGGTCCCGGGATGCCTGAATGTGGGTGACATGCCTGAGGTTTCTGATTCAGTTAATGATAGTTTCATTCAGGAAGACAGAAACACAAAAGGAAAAGAAGATTTTTCCTGATTTCTTTGGCTAAGACTTTCTGTACTACATTAAATAGAAGTGGCTGATGAGGGCATCTTTGTCTTGTTCCTGATCGTAGATGGAAGGTTTTCAGTCTTTCACTACTGAGGATGATGTTTTTTAACATGAGAGAAATAGCTTGGTTGTATGCAGATGGGAATAATCCTGTAGAGAGAGAAAACCTGATGACTCAGGATAAAGAAGGGAGTTCTTCTGAATGAATGCCCCTGAGTAGGTAAAAGGGACTGGTAATCCACCAGTGGAGGGGTTGGCCTTAGTGTAAGCATAGAAATGAGCAATTTATAGTCCCAGGGTGGAAGGCAGAGTATCTGGGCAAAGATGCTGGTGAGTAATTGTGCTGACAGGAGTCTGTGGAACTTCTACAAAACTGAAGCTCTAAATATAGCACTTCGTATGGTGGCACATTGTTGTTTAGGACTCAACTCAAATGTCACTGCAGCTCCTCCTGCCTCATCATCCTGATCATAGGGTCCTATGTTATTTTCTTCCCTGCACCAATTTCAATTTAAAATTATATTCTTTATATCTTTTTGTGTGTGTTTAATATGTTGAAAGCACCATGAGAGCAACAATTGTGTCAATCTTGTTCAGTTCAGAGTCTCCAGTCCCTAAGACAGTGCCTAGCATACGACGGGTACTTCATAAATCTTTACTACTAAATAATTAATTGAATGAATAAGAGGAGGGGTCTGAAGCTTTTAGTGCTGCCATGATTTAAGTGAGCAAACACACATTAGCATTTTCTTCCCTAGAATCCAATAAAAGATTTGCCTAACTGAGGTTGGAGACCATGTGCTATGTGTCACCGTTCTAGTTGCAAGGCATGTGATATCTTTTGATCTGATAATTCACAGTGGCCTAGGAGAGGGATTCATTCATTCAAAATTGGGGGGTGTTTCAAAAGAGAGATACTGAAAGATCCTGAACTCACATCCTCCCATGGACACACCAGATCTATAGCATCATATGGAGCAGTTTCCTCTGAAAAAAACCTTAAAAACTGGCAGAACAAAACTGCGGGTGGGTGCACAAGGCAGCCTAAGTGAGACTCAAAGATGGAGCAAGTTTTGCTGACAAGGGCAAGATTGAGAAGTGTGCCCCGGACAGGGAAGGAAGTGAGACAAGGACTAGGATATGGACGGAGAGAAGCAAGGGCACCACTTCCCCATTCGCATCTGGGGTGATGTGATGAATTTTATCCTACAAGGTAGGATGGCGTTCATAGGATTTTCTTTTCTGATCCAAAATCAGTCTCCCTCTAGCTTCCTCTTTTGTTCCTATTTTGTCATCTGGAACAGACGTTAGTTCTTTTACTCAAAAATTCGTATACTCTGAGTCAAGCTTTTTTGCTCTCTTCCATGGCGTCATCTCTTTCTCAACACATTTCCCCCTGGCATTTCTTCTAATGCTCAAGAGTTCCCTCATTTTCCAGTTCAGGGGGCTCTTTCTGAGCTACTTAGAATTACATGCAGTGGAAGAAATTTGAATACTTATTCGGATCTTTGAGGTTATTAAGAAGTTGCTAGTATTTTTGTTTATGGTATGGTATGGTATTCTGTATGATAGGTATGATATTATGGTTATGTTTAAAAAAGAGTGGTTGACAAAGACATCACAAGAAAAGAAAACTATAGTCCAATATCCCTTATGGATATGGATTCAAGAATCCTCAGCAGAATGCTAGAAATTGACTCCAGCAATGTACAAGAAGAATTACACACCATGACTAATTGGGATTTATCCCAGGAATGCAAAGTTGGTTTACCATCCCAAAATCAATTAATGTAATACATCATGTGATATCGGAATAAAACATTAAAACTACATGATCATCTAAATACACACAGAAGCAGCTTTGGACAAAATCCAACACTTTTCATGAAAAAAACACTCAATAAACTAGGAAGGGAAGGGAATTTCCTCAACATGATTAAAGACATCTACAAAATTCACCAGTTGATATCATACTTAATGATGAAAGTTATTGGATGCTTTTGCTCTAGGACGAGCAACAGAATAAGGATATATGCCCTTATCACCTCTATTCAGCATTGTATGAGAGGTGCTGGCAATGGCAATTAACCAAGAAAAAGAAAAAAATGGCATCCAGATTGGAAAGTAAGAAGTAAAACTACCTTGATTGACATATTTTATGATATATATATTAAAAAATCCTGTGGCTATGCCAAAATATATTAGAACTAAGCAAGTTCAGTAAAATTTCAAGATACAGGATCAATATATAAAACTCAATTGTAGACCCAGTAATTCAACTCCTAGGAATTTACCCCCCCCAAAAAAAATCTCTGATTCGAAAGGTGTATGCACCCCTATGTTTATCACCACAGTTTTTGCAGTAACCAAGATATGGAAGCAACCTGAGTGTCCATCAACAGATGAATGATGAATGGATAAAGAAGATGTGGTACATGTACACAATGGAATAAAAAGAAAAAAAACCCTGCTATTTTCAACAACATGAATGGATCTAGAGGGTATTATGCTTATTGAAATAAGCCAGGTGGAGAAAGACAAATACCATATGATTTCACTTGTTTGTGGAATACAAAAACAAAGCAAAACAGAAGGAAGAAAACAGCAGCAGACTTATAGACACTGAGAAGTGACTAGTGGTTACCAAGGGGGAGGTGGGAGGTGGATAAAGGGGAACAGTAATATGTAATCA